CACCTTTCTCCACATCCTTCCATCCTGCGGGAGCAGAGACAGAGCAGCTGGGGGGGGTCTTTAGGATGAGAAAAGAAAAAGGGGGTGCCCATGGGGTCGCTTTCCCCTGGGGGAGATTGGGGAGGGCATCCCAGGCCAGCCCCACGGCAGCAGCCACCAGCCCCACAGCAAGGGGGGAGAAAATGAGGGCTGGGGGCTGCTCCCACCAGTCCCACACTTTGCTCTTCCTCCAGCCAACCTCCATCATCATCCCCATGGGTAGGTCCTGCGAGGGGTGCCCTGTGCCCCCCCGGCCCTGCCACGCAGCACCAAGGGCCCCTCACTCGCTTTTATTAACAACTCGGTGCAGGTTTATCAGAGATCAAAGGGTTTATAGACACTTTGCTTTCATTTGAGCTTCATTACATTTACTTTTTATTCTTTTTTTTTTTCCTTTTTTTTCTTTTTTTTTTTTTCTCCCTTTTTTACAAAAAACCAGTTGTAGTTATTAACAGCTGTACATATTCTGCTACATACTTTGGTGTAAAGTTGAGAAGTCTGACTCAGGAACTCCCCGCCAGCTCCGGTACATGCACTTCCTTGATTTTTTTTTCTTTTTTTTAAGAGGAAAACGAAGCCCTGACTTACAAACCAGTGCCCAGGCAGGAGGGAAGCTGGCAGTGCCTTACCACGGGGTGAGGGTGCCATGGGGGCAGTCCAAAGCCCCCCCAGCCCTTTCCAACACACCCCCCATGAATGGGAAGAGGGGGGATGCTCCAAGCACCCCAGGGTCAGACCCTGTGCCCAGGTCTGGGGGGGGCAGGGGGATGGGCAGAGCTGCCCCCCCACAAAAGCACACCAACCCTTGGGACCAAAAGGACATAGGGGGTGGGGGGCACCCCTGAACCCCTCAGCAGGCATCAGTGTGGGTCCGTTGGCACCAGGGGTATTTTCAGAGTCATTTTTTCTGAGCCAAACCCCTCTCAGAACCACTCTCCCTAAATGCAGTTTTCCAGAGGGGGGGTATAATTAGCCCCCAAGATCCATCCCATCTCCTCCCCGGGCGAGGCGACGCACAACAAGCACTAACCATGCCCTTCACCCGGCACAAGCCCCCTTTTTTTTTTCCTTTCAAGCAGAAAAGGGCAAAAAAAATCTCAAACCCCTCTTATTTTGCCAGGAAAACCACCATTTCCCATGAAATTCCCCCTCTTCCAGCCCCACCTCGTCCCCGCCGGGAGGGACACGGTGCCAACCGCACACCCCAGGCTCCCCTTCGCCTCCACTCCCCCCCCGACTCCAAACCAGGCAGTTCTCACCTCAACCCTAAGCCTCATTAGTAATTTTTTTTTCTTCTTTTTTTTTTTTTGAACCAGATTAAAATCAAAAATTAAAAAATAATCCATAAAAATGTAGTATAAAAATTCTCTTCCATATGCTACAATACAGGGTGAGCGCTTCTGCTACACAAATACTTTTATTTCCCATTATGGTTTTTTTTGTTGATTTTTTTTTGTTTGTTTGACACCCCAGGCTCCCCTTCGCCTCCACTCCCCCCCCGACTCCAAACCAGGCAGTTCTCACCTCAACCCTAAGCCTCATTAGTCATTTTTTTTTCTTTTTTTTTTTTTTGAACCAGATTAAAATCAAAAATTAAAAAATAATCCATAAAAATGTAGTATAAAAATTCTCTTCCATATGCTACAATACAGGGTGAGCGCTTCTGCTACACAAATACTTTTATTTCCCGTTATGTTTTTTTTTTTGTTGATTTTTTTTTGTTTGTTTGTTTTTTTAACCCTTTAGTACAAAATGCTGAAACGCAGGCCTGTGCGGGGAGGGGGTTTTTGCTTCATCGGAACCTAAATACCAGGAGACACAAGACCATAATAAGCCCACAGGACCCTACCAAAGCCAGCCCCTTCCCCCCCCACCACACACAAACCCTACTTGTTAGTAAACTTTGCTTTTAAAAAAAACCTGTATTTTCTTTTTTTTTTTTTTAAAGGTTATCAATTCTAATTTCTTTACTTTTCATTTGAATACAAAACACATAAGTTGCTATTATCTTTCGTGGCTCCCTGAGCTGAATTTACTTATGCTTTCTTTGAAATCACTCCTCAATTGCTTCTGTCCGAAGACCAAGAAGGGCTTTGCGCAGACGATCCCGCAGCGTGGGCTTCCCCTTTGCTTCAAACATACCAGCACGAAACCAAAAAAAAACCAAAAAATTAAAAAAAAAAAAAAAACCAAAAAAACCATCCGTATATAAAAAAAAAAAATAAATCCCAAAAGAAAACCAAGGTGATTGTGTTGCTGATGTCCCATCAGTAGCTGAGGATGCGAGCGAGTCCCCCGCGGTCCCGGCAGCGTCCCCACCATCACGAACACACCGACCCACGCACGGCCACCACAGCAGGAACAACTTTCACCAGTGGGAATCCCTCTGCTCAGCCCGGCCAGGCGCTGCACGGCAAAGTCACGTCTCGAGGGACGCGTCGGAGGATGGGGGGGGGAAAGGGAAGGGGGGGTAAGGAACCAAAAAAAAA